GCGGCCCCGGGGTCGGGGGGGGGGGGGGGGGGGGGCCCTGTGTGTGGGGGGGGGGGGGGGGGGGGGCCCCCCCCCCCCCCCCCCCCCCCCCCCGGTGCCCGAAGCGGTCTGCCCACCATTGCCCGGACAACCCCCCCCTAATAAACGCGACGCCCAAAACCACCCAGCCCCTCCCGGAGGAAATGCCGGCCGGCCTGCTCTCTATAAAGCCGTCGCGGGCGGCTTGCGTCCATCCTCGCCATCACATCGGAGGCATTGACTGTCGCCGCGAGATCCCCTCCACTTCCGCGCGGATGTCGGCCGACCAGCTTTCTCTCCGCCTCGGCCTTGCAAACACCTCCTGCTTCCGCACCCCGGGGTGCAAGAACTTGAGCTGCTCCGTGGACAGGACTAGGTCGTCCAGGTCGTGGAACGTCCGCTCCCCGGCTCGCTTCTCGACCGACAGAGCCCCGGCGCTGCTCACGTTCACGATCCCGCTAACCACCGTTCCTCTGCGTTTTCGGACGTAGTGCACGGCGAGGGCCCCCGGCTTGCTGGTGGAGAACCGTACCAGGAACGTTCCGGGTTCCGCGCTCGAGAGCAGGGTCAGCGCCGTGTCCTTCTTCATGAACCCGGCGAAGCCCAGCGCGGGGCCGTGGAGGCCCGTCGACCACGCCGGTGTCCGCCTCAGCGTGGTGACCGCCTGCCAGAACCACCGCCAGAAGGGCTCCAGCTTCTTGCGGGAGATCGGCACCCCGGCCACGTCCCCGCCGTGCTGCAGCGCCGTCTCCGCGGGAGGGGGCCCATCAGACTGCCGCCACAGGGCCTCGTCCGACGCGAAGAGATCGAAGTCGCTAGCTTCGAGGGGGCGGATCCTAGCCCCGAGGACTCGTCTCTCGAAGTACCTGCCGATGGCCTCGCAGAGCCGGCCCCACCGCACCCCGCCCCCCCCCGCCCCCCCGCCTTCCGCACCGCCTCCCGACGACGACCCGTAAAATACCGCTAGGCTCCTCCCCTGCACCTCGCTCCACAAACACCTCCAGCGCGTCGCTAGCGGGTCTCTTGCACGACCTCTTCGGGTACGAGAGGAGGCGGGTCGATGCTGATTGGTCGGCTCACCGGTTCGTCCGGGTATGCGTACTGTTCCTGTAGCTGCTCCAGAAAGAGAAACCAGAGCGGAGCGGGAGACGTACATACACCGGGATGGCAAAACACGTTGTTGTCATGAATCGGCCACCTTTAGACGCCGTAAAAAGTATGGCAGATTACCGTCAGCTGTTAGGCAGGTAGGTACGCAATATTGTGTTCGTTTTCTTATGCATAGGACAGACCTGACCACACGCAACCGTCGGACTAAAAAAAAAAAAGACGAGTTTGTTTCATCACACCGGCTGCAATACCCAAGCCTCTCTTCGCCGTCTAATTCTTCCCCGTGTTCCTCGCCAAGCAAGACAACAATACGGACGGTGGGTTGGGGTCATCGCCGAAAAAACACCCCGCTCGCAATACCAGAACAACCCTTCTTCCTCTTCCCTCACCTTTGGTATGTCCTCTCTGAGGAGCTTCTCTCTGTGCACGATGAGCCCCTTCTCCTCGTGCACGCGGGGGCAGCGGCACAGGTCCTGCACGCACCCCGGGTGTCCCCGCAGCGCGAGCACGATGTCGCTCTTGGCGAAGCTTTCGTACGAGTCTGCCTTCCCTTCCGTCCCCGTAAAGGGCTCGGGCTTGCTGGGGCCCATCTCACAGACCGAGAGGTTGCGCGAGCAGCACATCACGAACAACTCTGCCGTGCTGCGTTACGGAAGGAAGGTGTAGGGGGGGGGGGGGGGGAGCCGTCCCGATGCGGAAAGGGGTGACGGATCGATCGACCGAGAGAGAGAGAGAGAGAGAGAGAGAGAGAGAGAGAGAGAGAGAGAGAGAGAGAGAGAGAGAGAGAGAGACGAAGTAGGAGGAATGTGAGGAATACGTGGACGTTGTGGGACAGGAGAGAGGGAGCGAGAGATAAAACGAGACAAGAATTAGACCCGATACGACTCAGGGATGCAGCGGACAAAACAGGACACCCCCACTCGCACCAAATATGGTTACACCCCCCCAAACACTGGCACATACGACAACCACGGCTTCTGCCCTTCTGAGCACACCCGAACCCCCACCTCGAAACACCTCTCTCCCCGACACCCCGCACGGAAGCACGAAAGCAAGCAAGCAAGCAACGACCAACAAGACACAACAACCCCGGGGGCTACTGTACAAAAAAAACGAAAAAAGGAGTGTCTCAAAACGCACCTCCTAGCGTCCAGCGGCTCCACCACGACCGTCTTCTCTCCGTGGATTCCGATGCGGCCGGGCGCCATGGGGCCCTTAGCCCGCATCGTCACTGCGGTCGTAAGGGTCACCCCCTCCGTCCTCAGCACGTCTACTAGCCGCGAGAGCAAGCGGCTCAGGAAGAAGCGTTCCTCGCCGACCATAACCACGGGCTGGCTGCACCCGTCGAGAACGAGGAGAGCGCGCCTGGAGGGGTGGGAGCCCTGCTCCCTGAGCGCCTGCAGCTGGTCCCTGACGTGCTGGGAGATCTTGGCCACGACCCCGTCCATGTTGTGCGCCACGAGCGAGCCGGCCGGGAGCTGGAATCCTTGCTGTGTGGGTTGTCGGGCGTACGTGGGGCATGTTGTCTTGTCAGTACCGAGGGTGTGCAACATATGTACCACGCAACACCGAGTGCAATAGTGGTAGCGCTATAGCAGTACGCGCCGGCAGTTTGCTTCACCCCATCACCAGATGCTGGTGCGAAAAATTCGAACCAATCCAGCGTTGATTGGCACCGTGTTGCAGGTCTGTCGTCGGAATTCACAAGGTTAGCGCTAATTCGCCGCGGAGCCGGACAGTAAAAAGCCATTTCAATGGTCGCCGCAGGCGTTAGTCTCGTCCGGACCGAATAGACCTTGACCATGCGTTGTCAGAGTTCCAACACACGCCCACACAACAGGACAAAACAGTCCTTCCCTCGTCGTGATTTAGGGCGTCTTCGCTTGACTCGACTCGACTTGCTGCGTAAGTACCCCACCTCGAAGGTACCACCTTCGCGAGAGATTAGTTATTGAGGAAAAAAGAACAGGGAGGGGGGTACGCAGACCCTATCCTTAACTCACCTTCCCCGATTGATTGCATGTTTCATCCCACCAACACGTTCACCTACTAGAAGAACCTTGCTGAGGCTACACCACTGACCTCGAGCCAGTTGCAGGCATCGTTGCCGCCGACCGCCCTGTCCAAACGGCAGAAAAATATCTCGCCGAACACGTTCCGCTCCCGTGTGTACGCGCACGCCTTCAGCAGCACCTGGGTCTTTCCGATGCCCTTTTGGCCGGTGATTGTCACGCATGGGACCCCACTTACCATGTGCTTCACCACCTGCAAGATTGGGGTGCATTTGCGGACAAACCCCACGTGAAACCATGATTAATTACCACGGTTATTTTTTACGTCTACATATCCAGGCAGGCCACTGCTGTTTTGTTGGATTGGGTGTAAGTGCTTGTTCAGTTGCTTGTGTGAAGCAACACGACTTCATGATCACGAGAGCTGCAGAGGTCTGTCTGTCTTCTGTTTCCAACAAGTGTGAACTTTGCGGGCTCTAAAACCAGCGCCAGCTGGGTGCGGCGAAAATAAGAAGCAATCGGCTTTCTTTTCAGGCCACAGCTGAAAAAGAGAGATCGCCCAAAGCCAACCCGAACCCGAAAAAAACAGTACTCACGTCTGCATCCAACATGTATCGAACGATCGGGGAGAAATGCGAAAAATCGATATCAAATAGACGCATTACAGCTATAGAAGTATATGATACGCACATCATTCACTACTGTTTTATCCACACAAGGTATCCAAAAACAAAGGAGAGAAAACCACCACCGCACACGACAGTTGCCAACATGATAGTACACGCGCCATGTCTGCCAACCAACTATAATACCACACACGTGGCTGAAAGCACACAAAAGAAACACAAAAAACAACACGCGACACACACGTGATACCGGATATCACACCTTCTGGACGTCCACTGCTCGGCCCCAGAAGTACTGGGTGACGGCGTCGCAGCGGTACGGTGGCTTGAGCGGCGTGGCATCGACGAACTGCCCGTCAGGGACCTCCTCGAACACAGGAATGTCGTGATCACCCTCCGGGGGGAGGAGGCTGTCGAGAAAGAGAGAGAGAGAGAGGGCGGGAGAAAAAGAGGTACCATGCGTAAGGCAAAAGTGGTGATGGGACTGCTGTTGTTCGTGTTGACGGGATGGAGAATTTCTAGCTCCCTTGTGGTAACACATATCGGCGGCTGGGCCGAGTGTCGTAGGTCGACAAGTGACCCCTCCGGAGTGGGTTCACGAGAGCACAGCAGTGTCATCCAGATGAAAATACAGCAACAACAACGCCGATAACAGCAGCAGCAGCAGCAGCAGCAGCAGCAGCAGCAGCAGCAGCAGCGGGTCTACGAAACAACTGCTGCTGGAGCACAACAACAGGAGGCATCTTCCCGAGGCGGTCGCCAAGAAGCAACCCTACGGCAAGCTATCACAAAAATCATAAAAATGACTGCCTGCAACGGCTGAAGCCGCCGCCGCCCCGGCCGCACTCACAGGAACTTGTGCCCTTCCTCAGGCTGGTCGGACCCTTCCAGGCAGGCGCTCCCCAGCAAAAACGCCCGCCGAACCGTGTCTCCGCGTAGCAGAGAGGCGTAGAACGACTTGGCAAACTCCGCCGCCTGGTCGTCGAAAGAAGACGAAAAACGATCGCGAGCAGCGACCACATAGGGAATGTAATGTACACAAGGAAAACGGACTACGCGAGAGACAGAGTTGATGGTACACCCGGGCACTAGGGTCGGCATCGCACGGTAGCAGCAGGCGGAGAGACCGCTACTTGTATGAGGTTTCTAAATGATGTTTTGGAGGAGAAAAAGGGAGCGGAAGGCGTCAAGGTCACAGCGGGATCGGCTCAACAGGCCAGCACGCACACACAAACTCTTCCCCATCAGCCCTGTCAGCATGTCACACAACAACGAGGCCCTTACGCAGCAGCGTGGGCGGCAAAGGGACAAGAACCGGGGAAACCGCTCTACCATACAACATAGTTAATCCGAGTGTTGTTCAGGGTTTGCTTGCTGGAATTCGTCCGCAGCTTACTCAAGGTAAAAACAAAGATGGCTATTATAGATAAATGCCTGGTAGGATAATGGCGCTGTCTTCATGGCTCGAAAACACAACAACAATGCAGCGCGCTGTAGCTAGGACAGTTTAGTGGCTGTCCATCGAGAGTTCTACAAGACAAACCCGCCGCCGAAGCTTGTACCTCACCCACACATGCGGCGGAGCGGTGCGGATAAAAACAGCACACGAGAGAAAAACGAAAACAAGAGCAGGGCTTGACGGGAGCGACGCCGAAACCACCTCCGCTCTCGCCGTCTCTCACCTTGTGGTCCAAAACTTTTGAATCCTTTTTCACGGCGATGACATGCCGCACTCCCTGCGTGCGGGGGGGGTACGCCAGGGGGGGGACAAAGACGCGACGCCAACCCCACCCAACACGGGCAAGGAAGGTTAGTGGCGTTCGTATGGGACGGGACGAGACGGGGTCGTGGCAATGGAATGGAGCCCTAAGAGTACGGGGCGGGACGGTGTCGTGGAAGTGGGATGGAAGCTCAGCAAAGCACCACGCCAAAAAAGACTGACGACGACTTCTTGCAAACCTTGGGCCCTTGATCTTGATGTAAGTGCGTGTGCGTGAGGGTCGTTAAAATTAAAATTAAGCCGCGGGAAAATTCGTCATGGTGAAGGGTGTGGAGTCCGGAAGTTATTGTGGAGCCGGACAGTTAGGGACAATGGATGCTGTTGTGGTAAGGAGACGAACACGGAACAGGTGCCGCGTGTCTGCTGCTGGGAGTCTTTCGTGAAATGAGTTGAAATGACACGGGTAAAAATTACCCCGTAAACCATCAACGCACTTTCGCAGCGCCGCCCGCACCGTTCTTCGGTCCCTCTCCCTCATGCCGAAACCCCGTTGTATCAAATGCGTCGGGCTTACACACGGACTACAAAATAAGGAGCAGCAGTAGCAAATAAACACCTACCACGAGCAGTCTACTAGCATATGGTACATACGAAGGAGTACATGCATCATGACAACTATTTATTTACTGTAACTCACCGCTTCGATGAAGCACTTGGCAACGCTCTGCGAGTGGCAAGAGCTCAGAAACACCAGCTGCAGCCCTGTTCTAGGGGCACCCTCCGCCCCCCCTAGCCTCGCCTCCGGCTCCACGCTCTCGGAGACATCAACGAAAGGGGCGTACCCGATACCCCCCTCGAACCCCAACCCCCCGGCGTAACCTCCCGCAGCCGGCGCCGCTGCCGGCGCCGCCATCGCGAGGGCGGGCATTCCCAGGTGCTTACTACGGCTACCGCCGCTGCCGCCGCCGCCGCCTGACTCTTTCCTCCCTCGCAGCAGCATCGACAGCAGCTCCGCCTCGCCCACGTACTGCAGCTGCCCGCTGTCGTCTTCGAAGGTCAGCTCGCCGGGCACGCCGTGTCCGGTGAAGTGCACGATGCGGCACTCTCGCTCTCCTTCTGCTGCCGAGGCATCGCCACCGCCACCGCTGCTGCTGCTGCTGCTACTGCTGCTGCTGCTGCTGCTCATGCTGCCAGCGCTCAAGCTGCTGCCGAAGCTCCCCGGCCTGCCGGCGCGGGGGGGGGAGGGGGGCACGCGGCACCCCACGGCGCGGGCGAAGGACCTGGTGTTTGCGGCCTCGGATAGAAAGCGCACCCGCTTGTCCGCGTTGTCGAGGGTCCGGTGAAGGGTGTCGCGCTCCCCCTCGTAGCTGAGCTTGTCTACCTTCTCCACCAAGACGCAGCCGCTGCCCCCTGGCGCCATTTTCCGCTCGACCAGTGGGGCGGAGAACAGGTGAGTGAAGATGACGCCCCCATCGTGCCGCCGCCGCCGCTGCTGCTGCTGCTGCTGCTGCTGCTGCTGTTCCTGCTCCGGGTGGTCTTGGTAGGATTTGATGTTTGTCGGGGTGTTGAAGAAGAACTGGCTTCGATGAGACGGGCCCATGCCGGTCATGTAGGCCTGAGCGACGTACGCAGTAGGCGGTAAAAAGTCTTGGTAGGGGTGGCACGAACACTGCTGTCCGTGCTGCTGCTGCTGCTGCTGCTGCTGCTTCCTTCAGAGTCAAGCTTCCAGCAGGCAGACTTTCGGAGATGCCGCGCGGTCGCCTGTGTTGATGGAATGGAGTGTAGATGCACTTTCTAAGAAATCGCGTCGGGGTTGAAAGACGGCACCGTCGGAAAAAGCCAACAAAGCGAATAGAGCCGACAGGGCGGTATACACGAAGTCGTCTTGCCGCGCGAACAGCAGCTGGCACAGGTTGCACGGAATCTTAAGTTTGGGGGCACCGCTATTATATTTCACGGGCCCAACAGGCTGGCGGGGCAGGCCGCGAGAGAACTCAAGCTCAGCCGGTCAAACACAACCCGTGGCAATAACTTGCGCGACCGCGCAACCACCTCACGGAAAAAAGCGAACGCACATGACCCGAGCCCCCTCTTTTCTTCCCTCTGCTGTCAAAAATGGTCTACACGACCGTGCTTGATCTCCCACCCCTGCCAAGTTGTGGTCCGGGGTGCTCACCTGCGCGTAATCTGTAGAGATGCTTCCGAGAAAGGGATGTATAGATGGGCTGCACGCTTACGGAACGTGCTGCAAAGGACTGACCAGGACTGCTCCTCATGAGATCAAAGAGACGAAGAGGGGGGCTCCGTCATTTTTTCATACCCCCCTGCTGCTCCTCCTCCGTGCAAGCGCTGGGCCAATCCAGCTTTGGAGTAAGCAGCAGCAACAGGCAACGCACAGCAGGCATTTTACAGGCGCACAGGCGTAGAGATGGCTGAAGACTCGAGTGTGGGCACTCCAGCGGAGTCACCCCTCGCCCCGGCAATCCTTCGAGGGCTGGGTGATCGGTCCTACGACAAGCGCAAGAATGCAGCGCTGGAGATCGAGGCCCTGATCAAGACTCTCGAAGACAACAACGAGACCGACCGCATATGCTCCATCATTGTCCTTCTGGGACAGGACTTTGCCACCTCTACCAATCCCAACCACCGTAAGGGTGGGCTCATTGGTCTGGCGGCGACTGCCATCGGGTTGATGTCGGTGGGTCCTGTGTGATAGTGGCAGTGGCGCCCTGTGCTGCTGTTGCAAGGAACAAAGAGGCAATGTACCTGATGTTGACATGCGGAACATTTAAACTTTGTAGGTTTTCCCCAACAGCAGGAAGCAGGAGTCGCTCGTCTCGAATGGCGGTCTTCGCGTGCCCTTGGCGCCGCTCTGTCCTGTCGCCATTGCAGCCATGGCTCTTGCCTCTTGGTTGTGAAGTAAGGCCATCAACGGCACCCTTGCCAAGCAGCAAACAGCATGCAGTAGAAACAAACACCTTGGTGCGGCAGCAATCATGCCACTCTTGCCGCTTTCAGCAGTTCCCATCATACTAAATAACCGCTCTGTGCAGTTTGCCTGCTAAACGGCGCTATGAGGTCTTCTGCAGCAACAAGCAGTACCAAATTCACGTTCGACCATCTCTTGACGAATTCGGACTGTGTTTCGCCATTCAACTACCAAGCAAGGCGTGGGGTGCGTTCTTGGTATTGTAGGTAAATCAACCATATATTCCAAATCCATGTTGCTGCCTACTTCAGATGCCCCAAACAGCCTCTTCGATAGGCTGTTGTGAAACCCAAATATCGAAGAGGAATGTGTCGACTGATTCGTCCGCTCCAAGGTAGCTTCCGCTGACGATATATATGAATTCATTGCTAATCTGTCTTAGACTGTTTTCGATGGATCGAGATGGATTTGTTGTGTCATATTTCATAATTAAAGAAAAAAAAAAAAATTGTCCGCCCCTTGGTGATCTCTCCCGACCGACTCCCATGTTGCTTGTACTGGAGTTAAAGATAGTACCCGTGAGTCTTTAATTTTTTTCTCCTCGCTCGAGGGGGAGCTTCCATATATCCGACACCACCTCCTGTTGTCCCTGTAGCAATTAGGGTGGGGGGCTACAGCGGCAGTAGGGGGGTCGATAGAAGGCGGTGGTGAGCGTGGTGAACATAGCCAACTGAATATAACCGCCTTCACATCGGGAGGTACCTGCAGCAGGCTAAAATGCATCTAAATTGAGCGGAAGGAGGTGGGGCGACGGTATTTAGTTCAAACGCGCGTGAAGCACGGAAGAAAGGAAATTTCCCACAGATCATGCACCACCTGTCAAATGCATCCCTTCCCTTCGAACGGGGTACTGTCTCCAACGGGTTCACTATTTAGTCGCTCGTTAGACAAAAGTGTTAACGTATTGTCACAGAACAAGACAAGAGCGCTATTTACTTCACGGGTGTTCGCCGGGCCAACACCAACGTACATAGCATTTTCATGCTGGCACAACCACAAGCATACCGATGTGTCTCTCTCGTGCACCGCGGCAGGCCACCAAGCTGTACCTGGACGCCTTGCTCCCGCCAGTGCTGCACTGCTTGGACGATCCCGAGAGCAGGGTTAGGTACTACGCGTGCGAGTCTCTGTACAACATCGCGAAGGTGCGTTCTGTCTTGCGGCGGCCAAAAAAAGGGGCTTTGTGTATCGGTCGACCGCACGGCCTGTCTGTTGGGTTCCTCGTTCTGTCGATTCACCTCAATTAATACATAATAGTTTGGTTTCGTCGGCGAATGTTGGCCGGTCTCGACGCCGCGGGGGAGAGTGGGGAGAGCAGAGGGTCTAGGCAGCTGCGATGGGCGACTGTAACTTCAAAGCGCGATTGAATTAACCAACAGCGTCAAAGGCAACTTTCGACGGTAGGATGTCGGCCACAAATACTGGTATGCTGCTTGTAGGTCGCCGGCGGGGGCTGCCGGATTTTTGTTGGTGACCCCTGGTCGCGCGTTGTCGTCGGTCTCAACCGCCGCTGCCGAAACTATCTGTTTCCCTCCGGACGACAGCACGCCCTATCATGCATCATGCGTACCCCATGCGTACCCCTTATCATGCATCATGCATCATGCATACTTCACCATTAAGCGAAGCCGTTTGCGTCTTTGCATCGCTCGTGAACCGTTTTTCATTCCGCCGCAATGGTCGTGTTGTAGCAAGAGTGAGCTTCCCGTGTTTGTTTCTTGCGCTGCTGCCGCTACTATTACCTAGCAGTTGGGCGGTTTGTTTGGTTCGCGCTCAGTATAGCCTTGACCCACAACGTGCACCGCATGGCTCGTCGTTTCCTCTTCTCACTCATGTGGGAGAGGCCCTTGCCGTGCTTGGTATTTGGACAATACAATGCAATCACTCGAAGACTGCCATCTGTTAGAGGTAGTACCGCATGGAAGAAAGACTACCACCCGTAAGCGATAGTACCGCAGTCGAAGGGCATGTGTTGAAAGTCTTTACCGCTGTCTGCATGTTTGTGCCTGGCTTGGTACCTACTCGTACACATCGCACGGGGATCCGCCTCAGCCTCGTTGCAATGAGTGGGTTCGACCTGATGGTGTAACGCCTTGGGTGTTACTTGACTTGTTGCATTGCGCTGCATGCTGCCTGCCTGTCTGTCTGTCTGCCGTCAGGTGGCGAGAGGGGACATCTTGGCGTACTTTAACCAGATCTTCGTCGGCCTGTGCAAGCTCTTCGCGGACGTGGACGTCGATGTCAAGAACGGCTCCAACTTGCTCGACCGGCTCATTAAGGTATTGCAGATCAGCAGACCACACGTACATGCAGCATTGCGTAGCGCAGCAGAATGTACAAAAGCACAGCAACAAACGGAGGTGGGTACAAGAGCAGAAGCGCACAATGCATGCACTCCGTGAGAAACCTCGGCTGGAGATGTGTCGTGGGAGACAACAGAAGCGGCACAGTAGGATATCATCACATTCAGTACACACATGTCGGTAGCACTGGGTTTATTTTCGTGAGCGAGCGGCGACCGCGCTCACCGTCTCACCAGCAACATCAAGACGCAGGAATTGCTAAAAGCGACGAATTTGACGGGGGACATGGCTGCAAAGAACGGATTCGCTGGATGCAAGGGCTGAAAACTCGACAGTTCCAGTTTTATTTTTTGCCCCATGTGCTGTTGGTTCCTGCTGTCACATATCGCACCATGCATCAGCTACACCGATCTATTGTATGTAATCAGACTATGCAGAGTTTCGCAACATAAAAACAAGAAAATACTCATGAACCCCCTGCCTGTTGTACAGACGTGTGCGTCCGTTGTAATGCTAAGATGATCGTTTTTGTGCGCCGTTCGTTCCCCGTCGGAAGGACATCGTGACGGAGAGCGAGTCTTTCGATGTGGAGCGATTCATCCCGCTGCTGCAGAAGTATATCCGCCGGGCTAACCCGTACATCCGACAACTTCTCGTGAGTTCACATAAACACTTGCACCGTGTACACGACGTTTTTCTGCAACACAT